GCGATCAAGTGCTTCTGGATACACGCAATCTCGACATTAGCCATCTTCCGTCTAAGCTCCGACCTCGCTTCTGCGGACCCTTTCTCGTCGAGGCGCAGGTCACTCCAGTAACCTTCCGCTTGCGTTTACCAGCTACCTGGAGAATTCACAATGCCTTCCATGTTCAACTTCTCAAGCCCTATCGGGACCCAAACACGGTCTTCAAAGGTCCCCAGCCGCCGCCGCCACTGCCAGTGATCGTTAATGGGGAACCCGAGTACGAAGTCGAAGCCGTTCTGGCGCACCGACGACGACGTAACCGCACCTTGGAGCTCTTGATTCGTTGGAAAGGCTATGATCCTTCCGAGGATACCTGGGTACCTGAACACGACATGGATAACGCCCGCGGTCCTCTCCAGGACTACCTTGTAAAGCAGGGTGTTACTTCTACCACCCAGCTTTGAGGGGGGGAAGTGTGAGAGGACGTCCCCGTTATAATATTTTCTCACTATTATGTTTTTTCCGTTATCCTATTCTCCCTTTTCTCCTCTTTATTTTGGTCTTTATCTCATCTCAATCGGCCTACTATTCTATTTTATAGAGCCTTCTATTTTTTTCTCTTATTTCCTACTTTTCCCACCGACATACCTATTATACGGCACCGACAGCGCCGACAGTAGTGTATACGGTGTAATCTGGGCGTAATCCCAAGTGCCAATAGCCTTGCGTGCTTGTGCGCACTTGTGATTATAGTATCGGGAAGGGCGTGTTCCCGAAGGTTCGCTTTATCTCGATTATCCTTGTATTCTCCGAGTATAAAAATGCCTTGTATTCAGTTTTAATGACAAGTTTCGATTGAGAATTCGATCCTGTGACACATGACCCCTAATCCCGACAACCCAGTCCCACGAGCACAACAGTTCGCCGAAATATTGCAAGCACCACGGACCCGGGCAGCAGACGCAATAAAAAAAGCGAACATCGTCGCTAAACGCAATGCCGACCACCACCGCAGACCTGTCACTTACCAGCCCGACGACCTAGTTTTACTTGACACCCAGAACCTCCGCCTGCCCATCACCCCAAAACTCCGTCCCCGATACTGTGGACCATTTCGCATTATCCACATGATCACACCCGTCACCGCCCACCTCCTTCTCCCCCTTGACTGGTACGTCAGCCCCTCATTCCACGTCAACCTGCTTCGCCCCTACGTCCCGTCCACAAGCCAACTCCCACGAAATCGCCCAGCTAGCATGACACGACCACCGACTAAACCAATCATCGCCCCCGAGAAAATTCTGAGTCACAGAGTTCGCGATCCTCAAGGAGCCCGAAGGATCGAGTTCCTGATCCGCAGGAAAGACCGTACACCCACCGAATGACGAGAAGTGAGAATGGATGAACTATGAAATAGTTGGGTACAAGTACTAACCCTAATTGGGTTGTACCCCTTATGGGCTACCCCACTACAGCCTACACAAATGTATAAGCTATAATGTTCTGACACACCCCCATAGGCAAAGTGGGGGAGAACAAGCGGTCACAAGACCAGTCAAGCAAAGCAAAGCAAGCTGAGGGTGGATCACAAAGTCACCACACAGTCCGAGCACAAGAGTAAGGCCACAAGGCCAGGTCACATGCAAGATCATATATATAAAGGTAAACAAGCAAGTGCATGTATAGAAAGAGGACAGTACAAACAAGATCAAAAAGTGAGCAAGTGAGGCCAGGTAGGCACAAGACCAAGCAAAGTACAGAAGCGCTGATGATCACAAGGCGGAAGGGCCTTGGTGAATATATCAGCAGTGTTGGCCTCAGAGGCCACGTAGGTGAGGTGGAGCTGACCATGCTGCTGCAGCTCACGAGCCAGGAAGTAGCGGAGAGCAATGTGCTTCGTTCTGTGCTCCAGTCTGTGCTCCGAACACAAGGCCAGCATGGCCTTGTTGTCTACGTACAAAACTGGAGGAGAACGAGGCGGCTCTCCTAGGTCAGTCAGCAGGTAGGTGAGCCAGCGTAGCTCCTGTGCAGCCATGGCCCCTGCGTAGATCTCAGCCTCACAGCTGGAGCTGAGAACAGAAGACGAGCGGGTAGACCGCCACGAAACAAAGCCGGAGCCAAGGCTGAAGGTGTAACCCTGTGATGACCGCTGCAGAGCCTGGTCGTCAGCCCAAGAAGCGTCAGCGTGACCTGTGAGGACCACTCGACGTCGCCCTCCAAGCACTAGCCCCATGCCTGACGTATTGCACACGTAGCGCAACACCCTCTTCGCTGTGGCCATGTGCTTTGGTCGGTGTCTCCCAGGAGCAACATAGCGTGCCAAGATGCTAAGGGGGCATGCAAGGTCAGGTCGTGTGCAGGTCATCAGGTACATGAGGCAGCCAACAAGCTCTGGGTACGGGCCACTCGGCTCTACGGACTCATCCGAAGGCAGAGCTGAGAGCGAGTGGTGAGTAGACAGAGGAGTGGCCTGAGGCGAGGAGTACGTGAAGCCGAAGCGCTGAAGGACCTGCTGCACCATGTGTGACTGAGTCAGGGTAATGGTGCGCTGTGCTCTGTCCCGGGTGATCTGCAAGCCAAGGTAGCTGCGCAGTTCACCCAGGTCTGTGCACGTGTGTCTCTTCTGCAGCTCGGACTTCATATGGGCGAGTCCAGCAGTGTCAGCTGTGGCAAAGACCAAGTCGTCGACGTACACGAGGATGTAGAACGGCAGCAGAGAGGTGTCGTTGCGCAGAAACAGCGACGGGTCGGCTGTAGAAGGAGCAAACCCAAGAGCCGCAAGTGTAGTCCTCAGTGTGTCGTGCCACTCACGGGGCGCCTGGCGGAGACCGTAGACTGGCCGCCGAAGGCTCCACTTGGTACCAGGAGGAAACGACCGAGTGAAGCCACGAGGGCGGCGCAGCCAGATCTCCTCGTGCAGGTTGCCCTGCAAGAATGCTGTGCTGAAGTCAAGAGAGTGAAGCTCGTAGTCGCGTTGAGCGGCTATGTGCAGCAGCACCCGAAGAGTGGTCATCTTCGGGGTGGGAGAGAAGGTCTGAAAGTAGTCAACTCCTTGCCGCTGACTGAAGCCTAAAGCCACGTAACGCGCCTTGAAGACAGGCAGAGTACCCGGCGGCCGCCTCACCATGAAAATCCACATGCCACTGACGATGTTCGCCCCAGGTGGGGGAACCTCGTCGACGTAGGTGCCTGTGGACTTCCAGGAAGCAATCTCTGCGTCCATGGCCGACTGCCACTGAGAGGAGAAGGGACCCTTGATCGCCTCAGCGTACAATCGAGGAGTCGGGATGTCTGGTGCATCCGGGTCTTCCTCAGGGGCAATCAGTGTGGACCCGAGATGGGGCAAAGCAGCCGCAAAGCACTGGAACTCCTCCTGCTTGTCCTCAAGGACGTCTGTGCTAAGAGCACACTCACCCCCGACGGACGGAGGACAGACACACTCAGACTCAGCAACTAGACTAGCAGCGTAGTCTACACGACAGCGAGCAGCGAAGTCGAGAAGCTCAGCAACTAGAGCAGACGCAGTACTGGACTCAAAGGAAGGGTCAGTGACGACACTAGCAAGAAGGCGCGTGACCGAAGGACTAGCAGCACGAAGGGAGTCAGACTCCGGGTCAGCAAGAGAAGAAAAAGAGGACCCTGGAGGAGACGGCAACGGGACACGCAGAGGAGCAGTGGAAAGACGCAGTGCCATCTAGTGTGTGCCGAGGACCGCAGGAGGACGCGGACGTGCAGTACAACCACTAGTGCGAGCAGCACGAACAGACGACGCGGGACGAGACGCACGCTGACGACGCTCAGCAAGACCTCTAGTAGGACCAGTGTAGGGAGAAGGAGCAGGTAGAGGGGAGGCGGGCTGTAGCTGTGACTGCGAGTGGAAAGGCGGTGGACACTCTAAGTGAGGAGCAGGACCAGTAGAGGGCGGGAGACCAAGAACCTGCTCCAGGAGCGGAACAAAGTACGGCCTCGGCCGCGCAGCGCCTCCAGAACCAGGAAGGACGGCACCAGTACCCCCAGCGGCTGCACCAGCGCCAGCAGCACCTCCAGCTCCAACAGCGCCAACTCCAGCACCCTCAGAAGCTCCAGCGCCAGCCGCACCGCCAGCGCCAACACCCCTAGCAGCTCCAGCTCCAGTAGAACCAACTCCCGTAGGACCGTCAGCACCAGCAGCCTCAGCAGCACCCCAAGACGCACGAGCACCAGTAGAAACACCAGCGCCAAAACCCCCAGCAGCTCCACCTCCAGCAGCACCAGCACCGACAGCAGCTCCAGTAGGACCAAATCCAATAACTTCAGCAGCACCCCTAGACTCAGCAGCACGTCTCCAGCGGCGGGCGAACCACTCGCGCAGCTCCTGTGGAGAGAGCGGCTCCCGCCTCGACGAAGCACCGCCGGCGGCCACATAAGCAGACCCAGCACCCCCAGGCTCCGCACCCCCAGGCTCAGCACCTCCAGACGCAGCACCCCCAGGCTCAGCACCCCCAGACTCAGCACCCCCAGGCTCAGCACCCCCACTCTCAGCACCCCCAGACTCAGCACCCCCAGACCTGGCACCCGCAGGCTAAGCACCTCTAGCAGCACTAGAGTCAACAGCTACCTGGACAGGCTCGACTACGTCTACCTTGGACACACCTGACGGGGCAAGTCCCTGAGGGGGGAGAGGGTCTACCTGGGTAGCACCTGGCGCAAGGAAGAGCGGCGGCGGGGGGAGGGGCGCAGTGCGGTAGGGGAAGAGACGGTAGTAAGGCACCGACTCAGTGCAGCAAGGATAGCATCAAAGTCAAGATCAAAGATAGCAACCCCGGCCTTAGCCAGATATCCCCAGCGAGGGATCTCTGACGCCTCAGGGAACTGGCGACGCCACGCGTCCGTAAGGCGACCAAAGCAGTGCTGGGTGGAGTGCGGGCCTCCGCACTGCCTACCAGCGCGGTCGCCGGTACGGAGGACGTAAGAGCTGGGACCAAAACCCCCACCACGCTGGCGCGCAGTGTACCGCTCACGAAGCTGCTCAGGGGACAGGGTCACACCACTCCGCTGCTGCTGCTGGCGCTGACCACCACCGGCGCCACTCCTCTGCGTAGAGTCACGACTCGCTCCACCACCGCCGCCTCTGCCGCCGCCGCCTCCTCCGCAGCCACCGCCGCCTCCTCCACCTCCGCCTCCTCCACTACCTCTGCTGCCTCCGCTCCCTCCGCCACCTCCACCGCCTCCGCCGCCTCCACGGGTGCCGCCGCCGCCGCCACCCCCAGCACCACTCCCACCACCACCCCCACTCCCTCCACTGCCTCCACTACCACCTCCACCGCCCCCTCCAGCCCCTCCAGCGCCCTTGCCCCCCTTGCCCTTGCCGGTTCGGCGTCTCCCGCCAGGGGCAGACGCAGTGCCGACCGACTCGAAACCAACGAGGTCGGTCGTAGCAGTAGAGGCAACAGAGGGCAAGAGGGGGGAGGGAGAACAACCCTCAAAGACGGGGGTGCGAGGGTCACCACAAGAGGCTCCTACAGCGACTATGCTCTTCTCTATCGCTAGGAGAGCCTTCTCGAGGAGGTCAACGGTGAGAGTGGTGGGGCAAACTGAGAGGAAGTGGTCCCTGACTACGCGGAGAGAGTCAGGGAGCCGGGTGACTCTATAGTAGAGGGTGATGTACATGGGGGGGGGGGTTCTTGGCGCAGAACTGAGCAGGAAGCGCAGCGCGGTAGCGAGTGTCACTAGTGCGGAGGTGCGTAATGAGGTCAGCGACTGTGGGAAAGGCAGCAAGGTCAAGTAAGAGGTATGGTAGCATGAGGCGGCTCAGTGCAGCAGTGGCAGGGGAAGAGTAGCGTGCAACTACAGCGTCGTACAAGGTATGAGCACTCTTGTACTGGCTAAAGTGTGCACGCTCAGTGGTCGGTAAGTGGCGGCGCACAGCAAGGCGAGCAGCAGCATCGTGCGTGGCCCACTGTGAGCAAACAGTGGCGTCAGCATCAGCAGCAGGGGCAGGGGAGGCACCAGAAGTGAGGTCAAACAGGGAGAGGCCATCTGCCCTATCGCACTGCAGGAAAAGCTGCAGATCATCTACCCAGACCTCAAAGTCCACTGCTCGACCCTCAGCGTCAAAGGTGAGAACGCTAGGGGAGGCCATAACAGCAGTAGGGAAGCAGTGAGTACAGTGGGGCAGGGCAGTGCAATGGCAGAGACTATGCTCTTACCAGGCAAGTGGGGCGGTCGGGCGGCTCGGCGACTCGGCGGTCGGGCGGCTCGGCTGCTCGGCGGCTCGGCGGTCGGGCGGCTCAGTGCTGGGCGGCTCGGCGGTCGGGCGGCTCGGCTGCTAGGCGGCCCGGCTGCTGGGCGGCTCGGCGGTCGTGCGGCTCAGCTGGCCGGCAGTTCGGCTGCTCGGCGGTGCGGGCGCTGGGTGGCGGGGCCGCAGGTGGCGGCGGGGCCGCAGGTGGCAACGGGGCCGCAGGTGGTGGCGGGGCCGCAGGTGGCGACGGGGCCGTAGGTGGCGGCGGGGCCGCAGGTGGTGACGGGGCCGTAGGTGACGGCAGGGCCGCAGGTGTCGGCGGGGCTGCAGGTGGCGACGGGGCCGCAGGTGGCGACGGGGCCGCACGTGGCGACGGGGCCGCAGGAGGGGCCGTAGCGGGGCCGTAAAGGGGCCAGGCGTGGCCGTAGCGGGGCCGTAAAGGGGGGGCCAGACGGGGCCGCAGAGGGGCCTAGGCGGGGCCGCGGAGGGGCCGTAAGGGGCCTAGGCGAGGTCGTAAGGGGCCGTAATGGGCCAAACGGGCCTAGGCGGGGCCGCGGAGGGGCCGTAAGGGGCCTGGGCGAGGCCGCGAAGGGGCCGTAAGGGGCCTAGGCGGGGCCATAAGGGGCACGACGGGGCCGCGGAGGGGCCTAGGCGTGGCCGCGATGGGGCCGTAAGGGGCCTAAGCGGGGCCGTAAGGGGCCAGACGGGGCCGTAAGGGGCCGTAAGAGCGGCGCGAGGTGCCGTAGAAGGCAGCGCAAAGGGGCCGTAGAAGGCAGCGCGAAGGGGCCGTAAGGGCGGCTCGAGGCGCTACTCGGGTTGGGAGCGAAGCGCGCTACGGGCAGGGAAGGAAAAAAAAAAAAAAGTTCGTGGTGGGCCCTAGGCAGTATTCCCACTCGGGAACCTGCTCGATACCATGACGAGAAGTAAGAATGGATGAACTATGAAAGAGTTGGGTACAAGTACTAACCCTAATTGGGTTGTACCCCTTATGGGCTACCCCACTACAGCCTACAAAAATGTATAAGCTATAATGTTCTGACACCGAAGACAACTGGGTTACCCTGGATAGAATCGAAAACCACCCCATCCTCACCGAGTATCTGCGCAGCCGAAACTTCAGGGATGTACACGCACTTTCGTAAAGAGGACCTCTTTAGGGGGGGGGGGGTGTAGTGTAAGGAAAAATCCTTTTCCTTACTTCGCGTCCCCGCTCAGCGCGTACATCACTGTAGCACCACAGTCAGCACCGTTACCACTCGCAACTCTCGCATCGACAATCCTCCCGCCACCTTTGCACGTCGCACCCTGACCTCACGGCTCGGCGGGTAACCCGCGCTCCAAGCCTCCGCTTCGACACTTTTCCCAACCTCATTCCCAGGCCCGTCACGCGACAACCATAGTCCATTACCGTTACCACTGTAGTTTTGCTATATATTCTTCGCTCATGCCTTAGCTCATTTATACTTTTGCCTCGATAGTGCAATTCTCATTCGCTCACTTAATTGCATTCGTAACATAATCCCAACTTCGCCTCCATTGCGACAAGCAGAGCACGATCAATATCGAAAATAAGTTAGGATTTGTCAACCGTATCAAAGACATTTCGTTGCGGCACTTCTTTGTCAATGACGAAGTTGACAAGCGCAAGGTTGACTTGACCTATTGCCCGACGGGTGACATGGCAGCTGACTTCCTCACGAAGCTGTCACAGCAGTAGGCACAAGGAGGAGCCATAGCTAGGGATTACCTAGCTAGGCAAGAGAGGATTAGACAAAGGAGGAGGTTTGACTAGCAATAGTTGGGATACAAGTAGGAAACCCTAAGGGGCCGTACTCACTACAGAGTACCCCACTGCAGGCTAGACAAGCATTATAATCTGACAGAAGCGACAGCCACGACATCAGTACCAGCAGTGCTACGAACTCAGTGTAGTAGTCAAGCGGGTCAAGACTTGCTACGGTCATGAGTGGAGGGGGGTGTTACGAATAATAAATTATGAAAAACATTGTGCACTCCTGACAGTACCAAGCGAGTCACAAAGAAAGAAGCATGAAGGGGGAGAGACGGAATGACATGAAAGGTCGCGTACGGTTACCAAGCATCTGGACCATCAGGGCAGATAACATTGTGCAGCTGCAACAACAAGGATCAAGTCCGGACAGTTCGTAACCGTTTGGAGTCACATGGTTGGATTTCGTTGTAATAAGGAAATGTACCCCTTAGACTACATGGCTAGCTAGGTCGTTTCGTATTCCCATGTACTCTTTTTTTTACAAATGCATTTGCATGGATTTATTATCTCGGTGATTTTAAATTCACTCTGATCTGAGGTCACAAACTTTCGCTGCAACACTCAGCCTCTACGAACCTTTCTGAGGAGATCCTTGGCAAGATCTAACTTCTGATCGCAACAGGGTACACCACCAACACTGTAGCTAGCTACACAATATTATGCTACACAGCCAGGGACCACTTCATCAGATTTTTTTGTCTGATAGTCTAGACTGCAGAGTCCTTTTTTGTTGTTCATCTGAATTCTTAGACCATGTGTTGAATTTCGTCTGAAAAAAAAAACAACAACCAGTTTTTATTCTTCAGAAACTACAGACATGCGCTTACTTTCATTTTTTTTTTATTTTTTTTTTTGGTCTGGGACTGACAGAATCACCCACTGGGCCAGTTGGCCACCATTTTCCAAGCAAACACGCCACCATACCTTGCGGTACATCACCCTGCCATATACATTGTATAGTGCCTCATGTCGGTGGCAACATGTGACATCACATGTTGCCCATTTCCCACCGCTGGCAAGAAATATGCCAACATTTTTGGCATATTCCTGCCAGCATATGACAGGCAAACAGCTGCAAGTGTGGCACGTCCCACCCAGCACCACTGTAATGCGCTTCTAGGCTTGGAAAAGGTGCCCCCTCTTCGTCTTGTCTTCACCTCACCATCCCTTCCCTTCCATCCCATCGTCTCTCGTCAGATGCCCCCTGTGCTTCGTTCATATTTCTCCTCACCACCACCACACTGAGAAAACTCAAACGAGAATGGAAATGACTAAGTGAAAGTTGGGTACAAATACAAACCCTAGAAAGCTGTACCCCATAGGTGCTACCCCACTATAGCCTACAATAGCTATGTCATATAAATCTGACACACCCCCATAGGCAAAGTGGGGAGTACAAGGGGTCACAGGACCACTCAAGCAAAGCAAAGCAAAGCAAGCTCAGGGTGGATCACAAAGTCACCACACAGTCCGAGCACAAGGTAAAGGCCACAAGGCCAGTTCACATGCAGGAGTACACATATATATAAAAAAGGCTAGACAAGCAAGAGCAGGAGTATATATATATATATATATATATATATATATATCAGTACAAGAAAGGTCAAGAGGTGAGCAAGTGAGGCAAGGAAGGCACAAGACCCAGCTGAGTACAGAAGCGCTGATGATCACAAGGCGCAAGCGCCTTGGTGAAGATATCAGCAAAGTTGGCCTCAGAGGCCACGTACGCAAGACGCAGCTGACCACGCTGCTGCAGCTCACGAGCAAGGAAGTAGCGAAGAGCAATGTGCTTCGTTCTGTGCTCCAGTCTCTGCTCTCGACACAAGGCCAGCATGGCCTTGTTGTCTACGTACAGCACTGGAGGAGAACGAGGCGACTCTCTGAGGTCAGTCAGCAGGTAGGTGAGCCAGCGAAGCTCCTGTGCAGCCATAGCCCCGGCGTAGATCTCAGCCTCACAACTGGAGCCGAGAACAGAAGACGAGCGCGTAGCCCGCCAAGAAACAGAGCCGGAACCAAGGCTGAAGGTGTAGCCCTGTGACGACGCTGCGTAGCCTGGTCGTCAGCCCAAGAAGCGTCTGCGTGCCCAATGAGGACCACTGGACTCTGCCCTCCAAGCACAAGCCCCATGCCCGACGTACTGCACAAGTAGCGCAACACCCTCTTCGCTGCGGCCATGTGCTCCGGTCTGTGTCTCCCAGGAGCAACATAGCTTGCGAGAATGCTAAGAGGGTATGCAAGGTCAGGTCGAGTGCAGGTCATCAGGTACATGAGGCAGCCAACAAGCTCTGGGTACGGGCCACTCGACTCTACGGACTCATCCGAAGGCAGAGTTGAGAGCGAGAGGCGAGTAGGCAGAGGAGTGGCCTGAGGCGAGGAGTACGTGAAGCCGAAGCGCTGAAGGACCTGTTGCACCATGTGTGACTGAGTCAGGGAAATGGTGCGGCGTGCTCTGTCCCGGGTGATCTGCAAGCCAAGGTAGCTGCGCAGTTCACCCACGTCTGTGTATGTGTGTCTCTTCTGCAGCTCGGACTTCACGTGGGCGAGTCCAGCAGTGTGAGCAGTAGCAAAGACCAAGTCGTCGATGTATAAGAGGATGTAGAACGGTGGCAAAGAAGTGTCTGTGCGCAGAAACAGCGACGGGTCGGGAGTAGAGGGAGCAAACCCAAGAGCCGCAAGTGTAGTCCCCGGTGTGTCGTCCAACTCACGCGGTGCCTGGCGGAGACCGTAGACTAGCCGCCGGAGGCTCCACTGGGTGCCAGGAGGAAAAGTCCCAGTGAAGGCAAGTGGGCGGCGCAGCCAGATCTCCTCGTGCAGGCTACCCTGCAAGAAAGTAGTGCTGAAGTCAAGAGAGTGAAGCTCGTAGTCGTGCTGAGCGGCTATGTGTAGCAGCACCCGAAGAGTGGTCATCTTCGGGGTGGGAGAGAAGGTCTGAAAGTAGTCAACTCCCTGCCGCTGACTGAAGCCACGAGCCATGTACCGCGCCTTGAAGACAGGTGGAGAACCCGGCGGCCGCTTCACCCTGAAGATCCACATGCCACTGACGATGTTCGCCCCAGGCGGGGGAACTGCATCAACGTAGGTGCCTGTGGACTTCCATGAAGCCATCTCTGCGTCCATAGCTGCCTGCCACTGAGAGGAGTAGGGACCCTCTACCGCCTCCGCGTAAGAGCGCGGAGTCGGGATGTCAAGTGCATCCGGGTCTCCCTCAGGGGTAAGCAGTACGGACACGAGATGAGGTGAAGCAGCAGCCAGACACTGGAACTCCTCCTGCCTGTCCTCAAGGACGTCCGTGCCAAGGGCACACTCACCCCCGACGGACAGAGGACAGACAGACTCAGACTCAGCAACAAGACTAGCAGCGTAGTCTAGACGACAGCGAGCAGCAAAGTCGACGAGCTCAGCAACTAGGGCAGACGCAGCAGTGGACTCAAAGGAAGGGTCAGTGACTACAGTCGCAAGGAGACGCGTGACAGTAGGACTGGCAGCACGAAGAGAGTCCGACTCCGGGTTGGCAAGAGCAGGAAGAGAGGACTCAGGAGGAGAAGGCAAAGGGACATGCAGAGGAGCAGTGGACGGACGCAGAGACATCCGGTGCATGCCAGGG